TATAATGTAAACTGTATCATGAACATTATTTATTTATATATTTTAGCAAGTTATATAACAACAATTTTTTATTGTATCGATATCTCTTAAAAAGTTGTGTACAAAAAAGTTAATAATATCAGTTTTTAATTACGAGTAACATCAGTCATTTGCAAATAAAAATTAAAAATATATTATTGAAATTTATTTTTTTAAAGGATTTTAAAATGTTCACTATGGGTCCCTTTTATTTATTGAGTCGTACAAGTTTATCCATTAGGCGGGTACTATTGATACCTAATAAAATCAAAAATTTACTATTTAATAGAGTACGAGTAGTTTGATCAATTTTAATTGTAAACATACCTATCTTTTAATATTCTTATCTGGCTTTTAAATTGAGGTTTTATCGATTCGGCCGTTTTAATATCTATTCCGCCGGCTATCGATTCCGCCAAACTTTTTTACATATCAATTCCGCCGACTATTGACTCCACCGAACTTTTTTACATTTATTATCGTCAACATTGAAAAAATATAATACAAGTACCTATACAATATACATACATTTATATAAATATAATATTATGGAAAAAACTAATAATTACAATACGAGTATAAGTTATATTTTTTTAGGCAAAGTTGGACAGTTTAAAATTAATGTAATGTTATACCTACTTCAGTATTATAGTTTTATTACAATTGAACTGCAAATTACTTGTATTTCTTATAGTATCAATTTACTTACAAATTACAATATACATGTAATAAAATATTAAAATAAATGTAAATGTAAGTATTTTAAATTTACAAATTTACAAATATTCAGCGGATTGGTAGTCGATAGTCAGCGGAATCGATGTAAAAAAGTTTGGCAGAGTCGTAGTCGGCGGAATCAATATGTGAAAAAGTTCGGCGGAATCAATAGATTTCTTACAGGTAAAAAAGTCGTTTCGGCGCAATCGATATACGCCCTTTAAATTGCGATAAATTGTCATAACTTATTGGTTATTAGTTATTAATTATCATAAAAATAGGACATTTTATAACAGTGTATAGAGTGAACTATAGTGTTCTATAGTAAATCCTTAATATTTTAAATTCAAACAAAATAAATAACAATAATGATATTGAAAAGAATTTTGAAATAATCTTCGATTTTTAACACTTTAAAATTTTGGGTTGTAATGAGTAAATTCATATGGGAGCTACTGAAGCATGATTTGTCGATTTATTATATATTTTGTAATACAACGACATGATGAATACGAAAAAGCTCTAATGCTTTAATTGAGTGGAGAATAGCGACTAGAAATCGATCATTTTTGCATATTCACACAATTTTATTATTTCTTCGTAGTTATTATCACACTTAACATGGGCAGATAAACATCTTAGTTAGATTAATAATATAAACTCGCAAACTCGTAAGTAATTTAATTATTGTACTTCTCTATCTTCAAAATAACGTCTTTATTATCAATATGTTTATAATATTAAGAATAGGCATATAGATAAGTTAGAAAATCTTAGTTGTGCCTTAGATTATAAATTTATCTTGAATAATTATTGATTATTCTAACAACAGAATGTCAGCTCACAAGCAGCTGAACGAGTAATCAGTAATGTAACTTGTACTTGTGACATTTTATAAATGGAAAAACTTAATGACTTAGATGTTTTAAAACCAATTATTCATTATTGTATATCATAGGCTGATATATGGAATATGAATAAAAATAATACCATATACAGTCAAATGTATAATCAATAGTTAACTGATGTCAACTGTGGATGTGCTGATGTACAAAGTAAATCATTTAGTACATATACAAATAAGTATTTAGAGATAAAAATTTCAGATATTACATAGATATATTGAATCCTGTGCTTGTTGATATTCATGATTCAAATTTTTTACTAAAACAGGCCAATGATTATTAACATCAAGATGTAAAAAATTGGTATTTAAAATGTGTATGCTTATATACTAAAGAATTTAATAATAACAATTATTAATCAGAATATAAATAAGGAAAAAATACTTATGGTAAGAAATAAAACATGTAATCTTGCAGCATAATAAACAGCATTTTTATTATTATTTTTTTTTTTTTTTTGTACATCAAATGATTGTATTGGTAAAGCTTATTTAAGTACAACAATGTAATATAATCTTAGTGAATAAACACAATTAGTTTTAAGTATTTAGGACTAGAGTAACACGGTTATCAATTAAATGGTTGAAAGAGAGTGGAAGCTCTTAGAACATGTAATTTAATATTTATTTTATTTGATATACTCATTTAGTTTATTAGAGATTGATATTTATATCATCAATGTTGAACTTTTGAGTGAGCGTTAATAATGATTGATACAAAGAATCAAACTAGAAATTACAGCTCTGTAGAAGATTAAAATGTTTAAAATTAAGTTATTAATAGGGTAAAAATATTTTTTATAATAGTATTTAGTTTATAAATTAACTATATACAAATTATAAAAGCTTCAGCTCTCGCAAACCATTGATACATATTGTACATAGTTTTATATTGGAATGTTATGTAATTCTAAGAATATAACTTAAACTAAGTAGATTTGTTTTTATTTAATAGGAATATAATATTATAGTATACAACATTATTGAATTTAAAAGCCAAACTACTGTGGTATTTAATACATATATCAATTAAAAATTTTAAGTTAGAAAATAGGTAATATAAAAATTGCACATCAATAATATTATGTAAAACAAAAATAAAATCATGATAAATAACAAAGCCATCAAAAGAATTTTAAGTACAAAAATGTAGAAAAATAGTGGTTTATATCAATAATAATAATAATAATAATAATAATATAATAATAATAATATATGTGTTGTGTTAGTTATAAGTTGTATTCAATAAATACAATTTCAAACACAACATTTTGAAGTTCATCATTAAGTTTTTTTGTTAGATTTGGTTTAAAGAGATCACGTTTTTAGTTGGAATGTTTGGTAACAAGACTGTAATAGTCAAAATTTTATGAAATCGGCCGGACTGAATGATAGGTGATATGTAAATTTTGGATCAAAATTAAAATATAAGAACTATAATAATTTAAAATTATACAAAACCTTAACACCAAAATTCTAAAGTTGTATGAGCAAAAACCCTTAACTTAACTAGCACTATTCAAACCCAACACCTGATTTATATAAAATATAAATGCCTAATTAAAGAAAAAGTACTAAAAAATATAGTGTAATATAAACTGGAAATATAATTATTAAGAATTAATGCATTTTCAGTGTATTACATTATATCACAAATATTATTTAAAAATAATAATAAAATGTAGTTGTTGTAATATATTTTTAAATTAAATGTACTTAATTATAAAATAATATTAAAACAAAATCAACACAATTGAAATCATTGGAGCTGAAAGGAATGTATGTTATCAAGATGTTAAGTTAATTATTGCAAATGTAACCGGCAGGTATTAGGTATATATTTTAGTCCAGGATCAAAGATCTCCTATTAATATGATTAAATTAAATTATGTTATAAGAGGTTTTTATTGTTCACTGTAGTAATTAGGTGGAGATTGAAATGAAAACTATAAAAATATAATCATTTTACGTATTGGAAATAAAGTCATTTTACTTAAAAATGACTAGTATTTTATACCACATTCAACTTACAGAACAAATAGATGTATAAATAAATTGTATAAATTTTGATTAAATAATAAATATATTTCTAATATATTTTTAAAAATTCCACCCATCAAGTATACACCACGAGAAAATAGTAAGACAAAAAGAATTATGTCATAATTAATTAAAATACATGATGAACTAGAGATTAATATTAAATAGAGAAATACAAAGTTAGTATTGAATGTATAATCCAAAAAATACCAACCTTATACCTAACCGAAAACTGAATTTTGTAGATAAATAATTTTAAAATGTATTATTTAATTTACATATTCCTAAATATCCAAAAATATATTTAGAATATATGAAAAATGTGTTTGTTCAATTTGGAAACATTTTATGGTGGTATTTCTGGAACATACTACATACCATAATACAGTATTTATACATTAAGAAGTACAACTAAACATTTTAACTAAAAGACATTGGACTGAAATTGATTTCTGGAAGATGAAAATAGACATTTTGAGAAAATTTCAAATGTTTATCCCTGGGTATGTTACCTGTACAATACAACTTACTATTTTTTATTACTATACATATATATTAACTATTTTTTTGTATAAATGTTGTATATTTAGTATTTTTCTAATACCAAAATTAACTAAGTTAGAGTAAATTGAAACCTATAAATAATCATTATCTTACGATAATATACATAATTAAGATATAAAATAAATATATACTCATGAAGTTCATAGTAGTAAGTTGTATCTTTACAAATAATTAAACTAATTTGTATTGTTCGGGCATACTATACGAGTTAAATATTTGAAATATTCTTAAAATTTGTAATTCACCATTCCTTTAAACTTTTCGAACAGCTAATTAGTTAAAATATGTAGTAGTGCCATTTAATGTAAGCACACTATATATTAATAATTTGATAAAGATTTAAGCACCAATATTTCATATAGTACCAACACCAAATTGTATTATTTACAAAAAAATTCGTATTTTTTGGTACTTATCAATTTTAGTGGCACCTTTAACATAGAAAAACTCTTATGCAGTGGTATTACACATAAACACTTAAATTAATAACAAAATCTCAGTAATAATCAAAACATAAAACGTTACGACAGTAAAAATTGTAAAAGCTCAAAATCATTATAAAATCACAAATTTCATTGGGACGATTTGATTAGATAAATGCATTAATCTAAGTGAACTATATTGTAAAAAAAATTGTACATGCTATAATTAGATCAAATTCATGAAAATTATGTCATTAAAATGTTGAGCACACATATGACGAGTTGCATAAAAATTGATTGATTTAATATTTCATCAAAATTGAATGAACCAATCACGGGCCATTAAATCATATTTAAGGTACTAATAGTTTAATATTAATACATTAAATTTTTACTTAATGATTGTTTATGCAACCTAGCAAAAGACATTTAGTTTTGAATAATTATGTCAAGTTGGTATCTAATTAACTTCATCACCTTGAACTTAATTTTAAATCAATTTTCATGCATCTTACTCTAGAGTGTAAAGCTACTTTAAAAGGTGATTGAACAAGTAGTATTCATTTACTAAAATATCTTTGACCTGATAAAACGTCGTAGTAATAAGTCTTTAATAGGTTCATAATAATTCTTTTTGAAAGCAGCAATTTCTGGTGCTTTTCTGATGGTAGCAATGATATCAAAATCAGATTCTAGAACAATAACTACAATTAAAACCATCATAAACAATGCAAATATTAATGGCAGTAAAGTCTGCCGCAAGAATGACAAGCTTGATCCACTGTTACGAATTGCAGTAGTCTCTAAATGCTTTTGACCAGACAATTGATTCGAAATAGATTGGATTAATGGTGGACTGTCTGTTACCGTCGTTGTAAAATCTATGAACAAATTAACAATCATAAATATAAGTTTTTATCAAATGAGCTTTAAGCTGCAACAAATATAAAAATATATTATATTTGTATAAATGGCATGAATTTGATTCAATCTAGAATTTATGATAATTAATTGTCAATGTTTTTTTCATTATCAAGAATAACCAAATTAATGAAGTTAATAACCAAATAGTCTTGAACCATACTCATTTTAGTCATTTTTTTTGGTTTATTATTAATATATTACATCTACAATCTATACTATATGTTTATACATTTATAATTGGATAATACATCAATATAATATATATATAATATGCATAAAGGTGAAGTGTTAGAATAAAATTCAGTACTATAGTCTATTCGGATTGAGATCATACCTCAGCGGTGACCAGTTTTTGTTCGTGACGGTTAGATGCCACCACGAAAGCTCGTAAGGTTAGCGCTGTGGAACAAAGCCACGCCCATGCGTAGAAATCGGCCGCCAAGGTACGGTCTCATTCCGAATAGACTATAATTTGTTTAAAAATTATATTACAATAGTAACTGTTAATAATGACAATTCAGATTTAATGACATTAAATTGAAGGTCCCCTCAAATTTTTAATATTGTATGTAATAATTTGTATTAGTTATGACATCTATATAATAGCTATATGGATGTTATTACAGGGTTTTAAAAGAAATATATTTTATCTTTAAAGACTGTATTACATTTTTTAAAAGCAATGCAACAAAAAAGTAGTAATTTAATCAGATTTATAATTTTACCATAAATGAAGTTATTAAACTAAATTATAGCAAATTTACAAAATAAACTGTATGTTTTGTATGAATTAATAAAGGTAAAAAATTTATTACAAATTTAAGAAAATATGTCTTTTACACTTAAAAATAGAGAAAATATTTTACATGCTAATGAATTAGGCATAGGTCACTATAATTTCCAATATAATAATTATGAAAAGCTAACAAAAAATAATAGAACAGGAGTTTCAAAACAAAAATTATTGATTGAGAAACTTTGAAATTGTACAATAAAAATACACATAATATTATTCCCATATTTACTTTTATTGGTCCCTTAAATGCCATTATAAATGGGGTCTATTGAATATATATTTAATAAATATACACTATAAATCATAACTAGTGTTAAGTTTAAATACTTTTATGTTATAATTATGATAACATTAAAACTAAAGTAGAAAATATTTATGAATCAGCGATCAAAGTGTTAACAATCACTAAAGACTGGAATAAAGAGAAATCTACATTTAATTAAAATTAAACGGATCTCATCTCAAACCATAATGTCTCAAAATATTTTGATTCATCATATTCTTATAAATCGTATCAATGTAGTAAAATAGTAAAATTAAAAGAAAAATAGAATGTTTATATATTTTAATAGGAATACATTTTTGTGAGTCCTAATTATCATGAAAAGTAAATTCTGTGTAAATTGTTTTCCTTTTTTACATGATATTTAATAGCTGTCTTATTATTTATAGGTACATTAAATAGACATTGTAAGATAAAATAGAAGACTGAGATGAACAAAAATGAATATATACTACAATATAATAGGTAAGTTAAATAGCTAAACAAAATAATTAACATTTTTATGTAATTAAAAAAATCTTTGTATAAATAAATAATAAGCAAACTATATAGATATTTCATTAGCTACATAATTATTTTATATAAAAGGTATAATTAATTAATAAATTTATAAAATAACGAATAATTGTACAAATATTTTATGGCACTGGTCTGGTATTGCCCGACTATAATACTATTAATACATATAACATTAATTACTTCATTTTCTTTTCTTTTTTTGATCTACATGCAACATACTAATTTTGTGTTAAGCAGAATTAATTTTATGAGTTAGCTTAATATTAAAGCAAATTTACTTATTCTCAAACTTAAAGTCAAGAACATTATCTGTTTTAATACTGACTGTTTTACAATATTCAATTTTTTCTTAAATATAATATGATCATTTTAAATTGTAAAATTTGTATAAAAATTATATATTTTTTATAAAACTCGAAGTATTATAAATAGATCAAAATAAAATATTCTTGATTTGAAATTTGACAATAAGCAAATTTATACCAATAAAAAAGTTTACAATATATTATTTGTTTTGCTGAGTGAAAATTACTCTTTAGCATGTGGATCAGAGATAAAACAAATAATGTACTGTCAATTTGATATCATTTCTGAACAATTAAAAAGTGTTTTTGTAATTTAATATTATTCAAAAATGATAAAATTATTTCAAATTTATAATTATAGTAGAGTAATTATTTTTCATACGAATTTAGTTTGAAGAGGATGCTGGATATCAAACAATGATTGAAAATATACAGTAAATATGAGTTTAAACGTTTTTAATTAAAAATTTAACAAATATATACATATAATAATTAAAGATTAACTACATTCAAGTGAGTTATAGTAAATGATAAAATAATTTTAATTTTGTTAATAATTTTATAATATAAATGATAAAAATTGGAATCTATGAATACACTTTGTAGTATACGGTTGATGAGTAGATAATTGACAATGTATTGTACATTGAAAAATAAAAATAATAAAAATGGTATTACTTACTCAAAAACTAATTATACTGGCTGACAAAGCATAAATATGTATTTTAGTCATGTTTAAAATATCACGAATTTTTAAATGTATTTTAAATTTAAAGTAAAAAGTAAACCTAAGTAGTTATGATTTATGACTTCATAATAGATACATTTTGTAAATAAATTGTAAAAATATTAAGTGCTAGTTTTATACTGTAATAGTATAGCACAGTTTAGTTACATTAAAATAATTTTTCAAATGGAAAATTTTTGTATTCTAAATTATAGAAGTTGTTTAAAATTATAAAATAAAAATAAATATTATTAACAGTGATAGTGAATGTTAAAAATAACATAAATAATGATTAATGATCCAAAGCTATTTAACAAATTAAAATTGTCAATAAAAATAAAATAAAATGAACTTTTGTTAAGATAACAAAATAAAATAAGTGGTAATTAGTTTAAAAACACGTATGTCTGTTAAATTTAATTAAATAATATAAGGTTATAATCATTAGCATGAAGTAGTAGACTATGCATGATGTGATATATGAAATTATTAATATTAAAATATATGATAAAAACCCCATTTTTTGATTTATTTATTTAACATATTGCAAAATGAATATTATCAGTTTTTATGTGCATTTAGTTATAAGATTATAATGAATAAAAATATGATGGTGAAATTGAACCAATTATGAGCAAAATACGACCCAATACCCGACACTTACCAATCAGTAAATGATCATTCAAGATTTCTTCATGATGGATCTCTTGTTCAACTAAGAAATTATAATTAATAATATTTTTTAATTCTAATATATTTAAAAATTACTCTTTTATAATATCAAAAGATATTAAAAAAAATAAAACTAAATTTTTAGTAAATAATAAATATTGCTATATTAAAAAACTAAATAATATATCTTACTTTTAGATGTTACAATCTCTTGATCTTCTATTAAAGGCTCTAAAACTGAAGAATTATCAATTTGATTGGATGAATCCATTGAAGTATTATATTCTTCACTAGTGTTTGTTGATGAACGAGAAAGGCTATTAAATCCTGCAGTTAAGTATAAATAATTATTATAACAAACAATAATTTGTCTTATTAATGAAATGTGATTAAAACAAATCAAAACTTGATTGACTTAAAATATTTAGTCTATTGCTAAGTAATAAGTTATTAACCAAATAAAAATATTTGAAATTTTTTATACAATGAATTTAAATGGTTTAAATTAAAGTATACTAATAAGATATTAGTAATAACTAATAACTATAGAAACCTAAGAAATGCACCAAGGAGAGAGCCTAATACCAAGTTTTTTTTTACATATCTATCTTTAGTATTATATAATGTACAATGTATATTTTGGCGTAGGGAAAGTGGTGCTCCCATCGCCCAGTGCACTTCTATAAGTACACTGCAGTAGCCCCACCCTGACCTTAATTGGTTGGGGTAGACTGGTCCTCCAGGTTGGGGGTTAAACGCAGGACTAACAACCCTGCCTAGTAAAATAACCTTGTTATGAAACCAACTACATCTAAGCCTCGGACAAGATTATAAGGTGGCGAAGTGTAGTAATGGCGGCAAAAACTCTTAGAGAGTAGAAATGCCAGTAGAAGAAGAAGACAATGTATATTATTACCTTATGAAATATATTAACAGGTACTATCCTTCAAAATGTGTATTAAATGATAAATGTAGAACTAGTCAAAAATATTTATTCAAATATTTAAATTCATCAAAAGAAGAGTAGATCATTAATACTTGATGCTCAATAAATATAGTGAAAAAAATTATTTAAGTTATGCATGATAATAGTTTTTGAAACATGAAGTATGATTTTTGTCATGTGCAAATAAGTAGTGGTGTGCTCAAGATTTTTAAGGAGGAGAGTGAATGTTGAATAATTTTTTTTTGAATAGTCTTTATTAAGATTTAGGAATCAATATAAGTATAAATGTATGAACAATTGGTGGTCTCTTAATGTATTTTAAAGGTAATTTTTAATATTATTATTTACAAATTTAATTTTCAATATTAAATTATTGACTTGGATATTTTGGGTTTTTAAATATTTCAATAAACGATAAAAAAAAAAAAAATCAACTATATAATATTCTTACCAACTTGATTAACAACAAGGTTTGAAGGCGTAGGAGGTTCACTTGATGATTTTCTTCTAAGACTACCAACACGTGTTACAGTTGGAGATTCTCTGGTAATAGTCATATCTTCTAATATTTCCCGCTCAACACGCCCACTGTACTTAAATTTGGTACCCCATGAAAAAAAACCTCCACCAGAAACTACATTAGGAACATCAGAGCTTGATGGAAATCTATAACAGTAAAATATACATTTTACTACTTTAATCTAATTTTGCATATTCATTGATTAAAGCAATAAGAAAAAAACTTAAAAAAATACATTCATACAAATATTATTATTTTAACAATTTATTTATGGTTATATAGATACAATGTTTAAATTAAGGAAAGGAGCTCAATTAACAATTTAAAACTGTATTATAAACTATAAAATCATTTAACACAAACTTGAAAGAATATCATTAAATAAGTAATAAAGTCATTAGTAAATATTAGTCTAATAGCAATATAAATACTTAACAAAATATACTAAGTAACATAGGCTAATATACCGGTCTTTATTAAGAACTGATTTTGTACGCAATGATTAATTATTTAATTTAAATTAAGCACATCCATCATTATGATGAGGTACATTTGACACCTACTGTACAAAAAACCAGTTACCTACTTAACCTATTTTTTTAAATCAAAATTATATTAAATAGTTGTTAATAACTATGAGTATCTTATGATAAAAATTGATAAAATCTTATTCTTTATCATAATTTCAAAGAACTCTACTTCCCTTATTCACCCACAGGTGTATTTAGGTGGAAGTGAAGGGAGGCATCGCATCTGGGTGCCAAATTTTAAAAAGGGCATTGCGGTAAAAAAATATTATTATTAAATAAGATATTATTGGGAAAAGTTTTTTTTATTTGATGACCTTTCTTTTAAGGTAAACTATAGATGTGTAAAAACTGATCAGCCCCTCTCACCGACGATTTTTTTAGGGGTAAAAAAGGAGGCTAAAGTTGTAAACGCGCCCTTGTATTCATCAAAAAATAAATAATTAAGGGATGAATAAAAAAATATAAAAATAATAGTAAATGAGTTCTTGAACATTTCTAGGATATTTAAAAAAAAAAATCATAAGCAAAACATTACATATCTCAAAAAAATAAAATTTTACACTTACGTGAAAAATAACATTTGTTCAACGGCACATTTCCATACATGACGACACGAAGAACCTCTAGGACATTTAAAACCAATAGTTTGCTTTTTCTGAAAATATTTTTATATAAATATACAACATACATACATTTTTTTTTTTTTGAATTATTGTAAAATAATTTCTATTTTATGTTAAAATGTTAAAAATATTTTAGTTTCTTAATTTTATTGTATAATACTATAATAGTTTAAATACAAATTAAAATGTATTCCGGTTATTTCTTAGTAGATTTGAAAAACCATAACTGTTTGAAATACCTATAAGGTTACAAATTACATTTTATTCTTGGAGTTAAAATGAAATTTTTTTACACTTAAAACTGATAGTTATGAGAATTATTGTTGATAATAATATATCTACATATATCCTTATTATATTTTAATTAACTATATTTTTATACCATACGAATTTTATAAATCATGATATTTACATATAAAACTATAAAATAATGATTTTAATATTTTATCTAAAATCAATCTATAATTAGTAAACTATATACAAGTGAATATTTGATTTATTAGACAATAAAATATAATAAAAACAAACATAGTTTTTGGTGAAGAAAATGATTAACTATTAATTATTTGATTGAATAATCTACATATTAATTTATAAATATAAATATATTTTTTTAAACTGATAGCAATGGATGAAATCTAATAGTTTAATAAATTATTTGATACTATTTTACTAATTAAAACATGAAAATAGTAGATGGAAGTTATGTTATAAATATATACATAATAAAATACGATATATATTTATTAAAACTAATTATTAATTAAAGGTTATTTGAAACATACTTGTAAAACTAACCTAAATTTTTGAAGCAACCTTCTTTAAACCAACATTTTTATAATCACCTTTTCAATAATTATCTTCTTAAAATTTTTCCTGGGTAATTTATGTTTTATGAAATTTGTATACCAATGTTAAGAAATGAAATTTGTAAAAGATTCCAATTATGATCAATACATAAACGTATTAATTCATGTTTTGTAAAATTTCACTACGTAAGTGCTAATTTAAAGAAGGGCCCATCATGTTGTTATTTTTTTCATCATAGTACTACTACAATACTAAAATATTCATAAGATAATTATGGTAAACAAAATTTTCATTATACATTCTATATTATATGCTGTGTAATACTAATTATTCTAAAACAAATATTAATTACAGTAACTACCTTGATTCTCTGATCCTAAGAAGCATGTAATTACATACAAAGTTACTCAAATAAAGTAAATAAACTTAAATACAAAAGGTTATAATAAATACAAAATAAATTAATTTTGCTAAATTATTATAAATAAAGAATACCTCATTGAGAATGATATGAATGATGAACATTTTACCCTCAAAGTTAATTTTCTGAACTTGTGACCAGCTGAAATGGTTCATTTTCTTACTTCCTTGGAATGTAAGTATTCCAGTATGATTGATGCCTAAATAAAGTTGATTGCCTCTTTGATCCTATGTATAAAATAAATGTGATAAATTTTTCAAAGTAAATTATTATATTACTATGGTTATAAATTTTTTACCTTAACAGCATGAGGATCAACTCCATATGTATCCAAGACACATGCTTTTTTCAAAAAAATTGTTTCCATTTCAGCTGCAGTTTTGCCTTTCAATTCATTTTTATGAATATCCATCATTTTCTCTTCCAATTGTAAAGTTTGTTTTAATAATATTTTTAATTCACTTACATAATTATCAATATGTTCTTCTGGATTGAAATCTCCGAGTTCAGCTGTTCATAGAGGTTAAATAGTTACAATATTATAAAATCATGAAATAGGTATATTATTATTTATTAGTTATTACCTTGTAGTATATAAGCTCCTAGCAGAGCAGCTTCAGAAGTATTACAGTAAAGCCGACCATGTAATAAATCCCTTTTTAATTGAAGATAAATTTGGTAACGAGTAATATCTTCTTTTAACCGAAATGGATTTGGTGGATAAAATTTAACACGAAAGCTAAATAATATATTGTCTGCTTCCATATCTAAAACAAGGAAACATTTTCAGTAAATTACATCTAATAATAAAAACTATAAATTAACAAACCTCGTATTTGTTTAAAAATTGATTTTGAGGGTTCTAGCCAATGCTATAAAGACACAAAATAAATCATTTTTATGTATGATTCATTAATAATACAATAGGTGTCACTAAATGAAATCATTAATTAATAAATTAAATCAATTTTATGGTATCATAATATTATTAAATTTATTATGAAAACATTAAGTGATACCTAAAGTAATTATAGTTATCAAAAAATTCAGTACCCTTTGACGTTTGCTATCAACATAACGTAAACCAAAATAATCTTTTTCGATTAAATCCAATTGTTCACAAATACGACTTATCAAACTGCTGCCTTTTTCATTTATCTACAAAATAAAAATAAACATTTTATTATTATTATTATTATTAATTAAATTACAAGAAACATAGGGGGAATTATTTAGAACATGAATTAATAAACACATGTATCTAACTCTATATATTTGATACATGATTAGAAATTCATAATATAGTTAATTTTAACGCCAATCTATCATAAGAGTATAGCTAACTTAAAGTTGTTTTTTGTGTGTATCAAAATTTGTGTATACATGATAAAAAATCAAAAAATACTTTGATTTTCTACTTTGGGATGGTTCTGATAGAAAATTAACGCTAGTTTGTTTTTTGAGTAGTTTGAAATTATACATCTTGAGACTAAAAAAAAAAAAATCCAGTTTTAAATAAAATCAATTTTGTTTTTTTGGTGCTACTCAAAAATGAATAATCATAGATACTTGAAAATTTTAATAAATATTTATATGATTATAGACATAGTACTATTTACATTATATTTAGATTTTGAGTTATTTATAAATATTTTTTGAATAAAAACACTCAAAAATTGTATGTTAAGTTCTGCATATGTTGTTCATATGTTAACTAAAAAATATTTATTTTTTTTAAGTGTTTATGTATATTTCATTTGATGATAAACTTTGAATAAGCTTGATTAAAATCTATTTTGTTTTATTATTTCTTCTATTATAATGTTTAAAAATCATTAAGTATCTAGTAGACAATAGTAATTACTATTAAATCTTAAAATAAAAAATAAATTTTGATACCTTTCTTTCCAAGGATCAATGCATAAAAAATTTATAACTGATTTTTTAAAAAATATGTCAGTGTTGAGTATAAAAATTTCAAAGAAAATATTGTTAAATGTACTTACTACATATTCTTAGAATAATTTGATACAACTATAAAATAAATTTAACCTAAATATATTATATTATCATGTAATATGTTACTATTAATAAGTGCAAATATACATATTGTTTATCCAAGATTAATCAAATATCTAATAAAACATTAATAATTTTATCATAATGAAACAAGGTATTCAATAGAAACCTTATAACTAATAAAAAGGTACACACAATTTAAAAAGTATACCTCAACATGTGTTCAATATCTTATCATAAACATGTATATTTGTAATGATGAAATATGATAGAAACACTTTATTTAAGCATTCTGTAAATCTAGTTTCTATTTGTTATTATTAATAAATACTTAATGCAATTGTCTTGATTGTGAATTGATACATTATTACATAAATTATTATATTAGTAGATAAGTGCATATAAATAATAATTTTATAAGATAAGTTAATTTAAAAAAACCTTAATGGTCTCTATAGATTATTAAATATTGATAAATACAAATAATACACTTGTACCTAAACATGATAATTAAATATCTAAATTAACTCATCAATGTGAAACATTATTTATCAATTTATTTTATAATTATGATGAAAAAAAAAATACCTATAAATAAAAAATATACTTATGATATTAAATTTATGGTAATTTTTATTTATAGCATTATGATTTAATAAAACATTTTATTGCCACAAAAGTCCTAACTTTTGTCAGAAAACTAATATAAACGAGTAATAAATTTTGTTTTAGGACCATTAAAATATTTACTGCTGTCTTAACATAATTACTTTGATAATGACTAATTGACCGTTAATAATTTTCTCATTCATAACATATCTACATACACATATATTTAACATAAATTAAAGTAACATTAAACAAGTAATTTAATTAATAAAATGCATAAAAATGAAGTCTAATTAGTTTACTATTTATATTTTGTACTATAAAATAATGATAAACGATAGATAAATTCTCTTGAATTAACTACTTAGTACTTTCAATGCTTATACCTGAAATTCGCTGTCCAGCAACTGAGAGTCGTCCAATAGACGGATGGTACACTTGATTGGAGTATTGGTGGAGTTTTTGCTTCCAAACTTCATCATGTTATAATTTAGAGAGCAGCACAACCGTCGAAATCGATTTCGCGCAGCTGACACTGTCGAAATGTTCAAGTCCTGTGCGGAAAAACGACAGAAGAAAATTGGTTATAACCAGTCGAGAAAAAAATCGTTGTATGACGATCGCGACGGCAGAACATATAACATGCAATGCAGCCGGCCAGAACGGTTGGTGGTCAATTAAGTGAACCGTAATTTTCGTTATAGCCCCAACGTACCTACGCGGCATTAACACTATTGTTATTATTCATATATCACACATGTCACATATTATGATCCTACTACCACCTACCTATGTATTATTGTTATTGTGAATAATCGATGATCGCCCTACCCTATTCGGGTTTGGTGCGAGCGGCTTACAAGTCGGGAACGCGTCGTCGTGGAAAACTGACAACTACAGCAAAACAAACAAAAAAAAAAAAAACCACAGTGCATAATACAATCGCACGGACTACGGGCGATTAACAGCGCGCGCGAAAGGTTTCGTTCGTCGGTCGACCGCTAATTATTGACTATCACCCGGCCCGCGGCGCTGGTCAAAGAAGGTCGCCGGCGCACGAAGTTCGGGTGGCGGGCAGTGGAGTGTACACTACAGTCTACAGTACAAGTAGTACAACACCGGACGACGCAATATCCGATTCGTCGCGCTCAAAGATTACGCCGCGTCCTTATCTCAGCGGCAGTCCTCCCACCAAACGATTAGGTTTGTTTACACGCGCACGTCCGTCATTGCCGCCGAGTGCCTACCAATAATAACAAATAACAATAACAATGAAAATGTATAAGGGAACACGTGAATAATAATATTTTGGTCTTAAAATATATAATTGTCGAATGGTGGGGAATGTATCTCCTTGATTTTTAGATTGTTATCATACAACATTTATTTTTATTTTTTTGGCGGTCACTGCACTATATCATGGTGGAGTATCGATGCGTAGTCGTAGTGGATGACGGATGCGATTGACGACCACTGGGCACTGATCGTCTTTCTGTTACAATAGATCTCTCGTGATTTACTCACTCTAATAAGTCCTAATACACTTTACAGAGATTTCTTCTTTTTCGTCCTTCGTTACAGACTATACGGATACGGAATACGCAGTCTTTGTCACCTGGTTCGGCACCCGTAACAATATAATTTATTTGATAACGAACGGTCGACTACGTTTTTGCTATTTTTGAATACAACAGAAAATGTAAAATAAACGGGTAGAGGACTCGTATGTTAATGGTTAATATCCACAGACATTTGTAACGTTTTTTGTCGTGCTTTATCCTGATTCCCGTTACCAACAATCGATTATTAACATTATAATTTTTTTGCCAACCGTCATATTATGGTGAATAAAATTTAATTATATAATTATATTAATCCTTAATCCTTATTTTTTAGGTTGTAGTGATTGTACGATATATTGTGCACGCGTCCGTTGTAATAGTCAGAAGCTGGACGGCAGATAACTCACTTTACGGTAAAGTAGTAAATGCCATTATGGCAAGACTACCAAGATGTGCTAAGGTATATAAATGCATAAGTTTCTAAGTGAGTGGTGACTGGTAAATAATATGTTGTAAAATTTAGTATAACATCTATAAAGTTAGTATTCACCACGTCTTGTCCTCGGTGGTCACTCATTGTTAAATCGGTTTGAGCGCGGGGTTTGTAGATTGATCAGTGGCTACACTGGTCCAATGAAACGGGTGGTTGGTAGTGGTGATGGTGATTATCACGAAAACCTATATGGAACATTATTCTATATAGTGTTCGTGGTGGTTTTGCTCGGCGGCGACGACGAGCGCTCACGATTGATAACGCAGACCTCGGCTCCGGCTGGCCTGGATATCACTAATCACTATCAACGCGTATCATTTGTGTCTTGACCGGCGTCGACGATGGCAGCTATCGCATCCAGCGTCGTCGTTCTCGACAGAGGAAACAACACAACATGTACGATAAACTTGCACGGTAATGATATTTTTCACATTTTTACTAGAAATATTATTATATTTTTTTAATTGATTACCAAAAATCTGTAATTGCTCGTGCGCCAGATATTTGGTATTTGGCTGGTCGCGACTCCTGTCACTGGCCTTGATCCTTATTAAATTAACATACCTATAATAATACTTCAATGATCCTTGGTGATATTTTCTTTACAATTTCTATTTGATAATTATTTTTTATATTTTTTTTCTTACATATAAAATCAATCACCTTTGTTCTTGTTTTAACAGGTGCCACCGTGGTCTCTTGGAGGGTTAACAATCAGGAACAGTTGTTCGTCAGGTGAGTGTTTTTTTTATTGTTCATGACTACCTATTTGTTTTGCATTTATTGTAATATGTCAACATTTTTAATTTATAAGACCGAATAATTTTTTACTTAGGCATGTTAAGGTAACTTATCTTTAACAAATTGGTTCAATTAAATGTTTCTTAACATTAAAATATTGTTATTTCGATACCGATTTCGAAAGTCGATAATTACTTATTTAATTATTTTACTGGTATAGTGACAGATTTAAATGGTTTTTACATTAGATTTGATATACAATTTTTTATAGTATAAAATCTATTCATTTAGTAATTTATGTAAATTAATTTATAATTTTGATTAGATAGACAAACGATTTTTATTAATTTAACATGATAATATTCCGATTTCTTTATATAGGTATCTAACATAATTTAGTGTAATTTTAAGAATATATATAATTAAATAATTAGTTTATGATTTATTGTAAATGTATAATTTTTTTTAACTTTAACTTTTTTTTACCGCTATCTGAAATTTTCATGTAATAGTTGTTTGGGAATGGATAAATTAAAAAATAATTCTATTGAATGAATTATGACGCGAGGATATTTATTAAAAGTCGTAAAAATATTGCAGTTTATTATGTTTTGTTTATTAAAAAGTGGCGTAAGTAATTTTTATTTAATATTAAGTATGTAATACTAAGTATTATAAAATTCTTATCGTCCCCTAGTTTGTTATTACTAACCAGTGGCGTATTTAGGTTTTTGTCATGGGGGGATATGACTTTATAAATGAAGATACCAATGAGAATATTATACAATATATTATAGTATTTTAATTCTTGCAAATTTAATCAATAATTATTGAAAAAAAAAATATATTAATAATTTTTAAATAATATGATGACTATAATTATTTGTGTGTATAGCCCATGGGAGGGGGGATTTATCCACTTGATTCCCCCTCCCGTAAATACGCCACTGTTACTAACAAACGTTATATTAGTAAAATACTTAGCCAAAATTCTGATATTTACACACATGCACGTGTTGATAAATATTTAATAATAATATTATGCTATTAAATAAATAATAGGTACTATTATGTTGTAATGTACCATATTTTATTATAATTTATTTGCACTCTTTCTGTGTGCTATTGATGGGTAATTAACTATTTATTATAGTTTTTAATTTGTATCACAACCATCAGTATATTTATTTTGATTAAAATATCAACTAAAAATATAATCTGTTCACCTCGTGTTTGTAATTATATAATATTTGTTAGATATTTGGAAAAATATTTTATTTTATATTTATTTTTATAATAAATACATGACGTGAAATACTATTTTTAATACCTATTATATTAATTATTTTTCAATATCTTTATTGAAATTTAAATTTCATCTAATCGTTGTTTAATTTAAAAAAGTGTAATTAAAATCAAAATCCGATTCAATATTTATTTTAAATACACACATTTTTTAATTAATGCCAAAAAAATAACTCTTTTTCAAAATTAGCTATAAACAAATTCTGGTTTTGACTATAGTGAATGTTAATAACGATAACGATAATGTATAATAAACTAAGCTTTGATTTATTTGTTTTAAGCGGATTAAAATACACAAAAAATAGTAACGATATTAGTTTTTTGGTTAAATTTACCAGGATAGAATAACACATTTGGAATAAGTTATTAGTTTGACCTCTAAAATATTACCTCTGTGCATAAAAATAGGAAGAATTGTTATTGTAACTTGGTGATTACCAACATATTATATATTTTGAAAAGACCTTTTTAACAAACAGAACTGAACAAAATGTTAAATTTTCAAGGTTGAATGATTTTTTTTTCATTTAGTGTGTTATAAAGTCATAAAACGTGTCAAAAGACCTACAATATGACCGTGAAATTTGTCCATTTTATTCTCAAGATGGTACCTTACATAAAGGTACTTTTTTTTTCTTTTAAAAATACAGCAATAAACATCTTAAACCATTTTTCTTTCTTGTAGTATTGTAGTATAAATACATCTCAGAGGTATATTATAGTTATTTACTACGTGGTTAAACATTTCTACAAACATTTATTTTGTTGTTAAACGTAAGAGTATTTTAGTGAAATGGTTATGAGTAAGTTATAAATATAAAGAATATCTTCAGCTCAAATTTATTTACATATTAAATCGGTATATACTTAATAATTTTTCAAATTAAGGTTTTCGTTAAAAAAAAAAATGTTATTTTATTATCTTTGACTTTAATAGTTGTAAGTAATTATAAATATTTAAAATTAAATATTCTTGTTACTTATATCATTGATTATAAATAATCAATATTTATAATCAATGCTTATGTGGTTATATTTTAATCATTTATTTCGTAAATAGAATCACCGAGACTTTTTTAAATTTTTATTATTTTTTACTAATCGAGTATTAGGTATTATTATATTTTTTTATCGAACTTAGTACCTATTAAAATAATCTGTAAATATTTATATACATATTACACCCAATATTAAGTATAGTTCAAATTTTATAAGTTATACCTTTATAACCGTAGACAGTTATCGACAGAAAATATATTTATCCAAAAATATTTAGTGTTAAAATTAATAATAAACAAATTAATAGACTACCTATTTATAAAATGATTGTTGACATATTTTTTAATTTATCTCATTTTTTTTGAAAGGTTTGAAAAAATTTATCATTTTTTTTTTTTAACAATGTTTTTCAGATGGATTATTTAGATAATATTTTAGGAAGTCCCCGCGAGAAGTTAAAAAGAAAGATGTATATCTTTTGTATTTCTTTTCGAAAATTTTTGTTTTCATTTTTTTTGAGATAATTAAAACTTTTAAAAAGATAATTTCAAACTTAAAATTTGAATATAATACTCTTTATTTGAATCTACTTATATCAGTGGAAAAATTCACATTTTTTAATAGGTTAAAATATTGGAAGCTTGAATATTATATTTCTTTTTTTATTAAATAAAATTAACAAAAAATACATTATATTTACAGATGATAATTTTTAAATAAATATAAGGTATTGATCAACCATTTAATCTTTTTTTTTTTTTAATTTCTGCATTTTAATATTTTATTGTTCAAAAATGGTTAGATTTTGTATGATGATATCTTTTCTCTACTACATTTATGATGTATAAATACTTAATATTTACATGGAAGTATTTATTATTAATTTGTGTTATTAAAATATGTTATTATTTCAAAATAAATTATTAATACTTTATCTAAAAGTTAGAAATTAATAAAAAATACTAAAAACTTTTTTAAGACAATTCAAAGCAAAATTTGCGCAGCTGGCAGATAAAGAGTT